TGCTTTCTCCTTGCAAAATGGAGCAAAACTTAAGTGCTCTTAATCTAAAGCTTTCCAATTAGATATTAATCATGTGCTACGTGTTTAAGTACGATAGTAGTTTAATGTTGGTTCCCCATTTCTTCACTTATTATATTAATATGAATCTATTAGTTTTCGAGCACACGACATCGAGGTTAGTTGATACAAACGCTATAAGCTAACAAGGCATTCGTGTACAAATTTGATTTATTCAATTATAGTACGTCACAATTTACTGTCTGCGAGAGTACAATGTGCATATTACGTAAGTTCAGCTCGACATTAATGAGAAACGAATTGTTGAATGAAAAAGTCCGCCCCTAATTCTTAATATAAATCATCGTCAACAGAGGGTTCTCTTCGAATGCTTAGATCAGATATAAATATATACTATTCAGTAATAGACAAAGTTTTAATAGAAAATTTTAATAATACAATTTAAACTATTTTAAACCTACCTAGCCTAACATATTAATGTGTTAGTATTTAAAAATAACTTATCAATTCATGCTTTTAACAAAATACAACGAGCCACATTAATCCAATTTTAAGGAGTTGGAGTAGAAAAAGAGAGGCGGCTCTGCTAAACTTCAACTTTATTTCAGAAATGTGATGACAATACGTAAGAAATACGTTTTATGCGTCTTTAAAAAACAACGTCTATACAAAATCTACCCTGCATACATAAAAATACCAGAAGTCAACGAGTAAAATATTACAAAAATATTTATTTTTTACATAAAATGACATTTTTGTCAAAATACTCTTCAAGCGAGCTACGATATGCAAGTGCATGTGTAGTATTTTGTATTTTTACCGTAAAATGTAATTTATGAACATAGAAATAACCAAAAATTTTTCCAAGGGCGTACAGATCTTGTTAAAATAATGTTGAATATTTTCTCTCGTGGAATTGGAGCCATTAAATTTTAAGAAGGACCGTGTGCCCCGTGCCCCTTCCTAGCTACTTCAATGTCTACGAATGAAGACTAAGTTGACAGCAACTGGCATTTTACAATCCGTCAAGCCATATAGACTAGAAAAAGAAGAAAAGGAAAAAAAGAAGACGTATATGTATGTCTTCACTTTTCTTGTGTGTTATGTAACCATCCCCATACAATCACTTGAAAAACATAACATTACTTTTGAAGCAGTCGGGTAAAACGAGATGCGTCCTGTGAATTAAGAATGATCGAATGTTTTATATTTAGAATATTTACAATCACATCAAACATTTTATGGATTGTTATCAATGAAATAGTCTTCAGTGTTGAAAAGAAACATTTTTTGCCGGGGGGCTTTTGCTTTTGTTCTCAGCTCTGATACACGAAATATCATGTCTAATAAATCAAATATTTTGACATGTGAAGTGTTGACGTCCACCAGTACGTATTGGAGCGGACTAAACTCTATAACTCTCTCAGAAATAAGCCCTACGTCGTATAAAGGTTTTAACTTTACTCTTTACAAAAGGTTTATATACCCTTAAGGCGCACAGTCACCGTTAGATATAGGTATTCTTAAAAATGCACCGGTTGCATTGAATTATGTGAAGCTTTGCCTTGATTAGATTGACGGTCTTTATGTTAGTGAACGCAGAACCTAGTAAAGCCGTCACAGCAGTCATAAAGTTGTTTATCGACAGGTTGTGAAACATGCGCTTAGCCATATTGGATGGATATTCAGCCATCATTCGCTTTTTAACGTCTCGTTTATTTGTCAGCAGATAGCATCGTATACAGGCGGGGTTGGCATTTTTTCCAGTTGTTATATCTGTCTATATATGTATATCTAACTAGTGATCCGCCACGGCTTCGCACAGGTGATTTTTGGATCTTGACAACAGCGCCACCTACTGAGTTTAATAGTGAACTAAACCATACCCAAACACAAAAAAAATCAAAATTGGTCCAGCTGTACTCAAGCGATGGTCTTTTATACATGCGGCAATTGATTTTTATTTATATAGAGTAGTCATTTATATAACCTCTACAGCCCTCAAATTTAAGTATTGTTTATAGGTTATTGCAAGAACTGGCACTGTAAATTTGTAAGCAAGTGTAAGCTGGTATACGTTTTAATTTTTATTAGTTTAAAAGACGTTAGTAAAAGTTAAGACCTTGAGTTGTTCATGCACTTTATATCTACACGCCTGATTTTTTTGCTATAGTTTCCACGCTTGTTTGCTTGCTTGTTGGCCACAGCTTTTTATTTTTTAATTGTTGGTAGGTAGACGTCTTTGTTCATATCCTTGTTTGTGTCCCTCTATCGGCTCACGCCTCCATCGGTATTATAATATACTAGGAACAATTTAAAATCTAAAAGGAATGCGGATTTGCGTATACGATATGGTATAGGACTTTGCGTTTTATGTGTACATGGTAGCGCCACGCTGCAGCTATAATATGGTTGCAGCACGAATGGGTCGACTCAACCGGGGAAGGACCATGCTCTCACAGAATACCAGCGTAAAATAGCAGCGTAATGCTGCTATGTTTCATATGCTGAGTGTAGAGAGCCGGAGACTCATATTTACTGGAAACGAGACATTCCACCTTAGTCCTTAGGGGTGACAACGCATCTGCATTTCGATTCTTAATCGAGGATAAACATATATGTATAAGGTCCACAGCATCCACTTACCATTAGGTGGACTGTGTGCTCGTTTGTCACCCTATTCTATAAAAAAAGGATAAAGGATCTACCTAACGGAAATTAAAATTGGATATAGGAAGAGTGGTTGCATGTATGTAAATTGTTTTTTAAGTGTCAATTCATGGTAGAGTTTAACCTACGTTTTCAAATTTTTTTTATTTCAAATATAATACTCTCAATAAAATTACCTATAAAATATAGCAGATAGAGAAGAAAGACATACAGTATGTTTCGAGGGTAATAGAGCAAATTTGTGCTGCAGTAGTGAGAGGCTGAGTCGGCAAACGATGCCTAGGACGGAAGCTTATCGACCAAATAGGCGATATAATCAAGATGTGCCAATTAAGAGTACCCTTTACCGACAAGCATGATTGCGTCGATATATGGATGTGAAAGAAAAAGAGAGAGAGTTTTGTCGGGATTGTGTCAAATGGAAGTCTGTAGTCTCTACCTAGTACTCTAGGAGAAAAAAGTAAAAAAAGTAAAGTTACAGCCTATATACGTCCCACTGCTGAGCACAGACCTCCCCTCATTTATGAGATGGTTTTAGGGCAAGGAAGTGTCCACCGCGCTGCTCCAATGCGTGTTGGCGAACTTCACATGTCTTGGAAATATTTTTTTTCTTATTTCTCTGACATGCAGGTTTCCTCACGATGTTTTCCTTCACCGCCGAGCACGTGGTAAATCAGCACTTAAAATTGCAATTAACAATTTCATTGGTGCCGGCGGGGATCGAACCCGGTTTGCTCGCGTACTGTGAAATTTACAGCGATCGCTAACCATCTGAGCTACCACGGCTCCACTTTAGGTGAAAGGCATGAATTAAATATGTATGTATGGAGTATGTTTCAGTATCAATAGATGAAGTGAAAACTAGTTTAGACATACAGGAATTCGATGGATGCAGATGGCTTGGCGCAGTAAAGTATTTTATAGCATTCCTTAATGATGATGTTTTAAATCAATATTTTATTTTTTAAATAATTTTCTTCTGCATACTGGTGTTTTTTTTTATAGAAAAAGGGGGTAACAATCGAGCACACAGTCCACCTGATGGTAAGCTAATGCTGTGACACGTGTTGTCACCTCTGTGGATGAGGACTGAGATGGAATGCATCGTTTCTAGTAAAAGGGGTCTCCGGTTCTTTACACTTACCATACAAAACGCAAGCAGCATTAAGCTGCTATTTTTCGCTAGTATTATGTGAAAGCGTGGTTCTTACTCAACCGAGCTGACCCATTGGTACTACCATAATATAGCTGTAGCGTGGCTCTATCACGTATAATATAGTTCGTTGGCTTTGAGCCTCTGTGATCAGCTTTACGCCATATTTAAATATAGTGGTCCCGCCATTGTATACATTTCTCTTAGGATATTTCGGATATTAAACTACTGTTATGTATGCTTGTATGTTTTGTGTTAAAAGATAGTGCAAGGTTTTTTTTTTGATAGTTCTTCCTACGTTAAAGGTATTTTCAGAAATAGAGGTGAAGAAAAAATTGACTTTCAATAAGTTGAATAAAAATAGTCCATTCTAATACAGTAAGACATGGATATTATAATAGCAGTACCTAGTTTTGCAACGCCGGTAGTGATTCTTGTGATATTCAAGAAATATTTTTATTAAAGAATATATTTTCTCAAGAACCCTAGAAGTTTTAGTCTACCTTTAACATAATTTTCATCTCATTATGATGTTGCTTTATTTCGATTTTATGGATTACGATATATGGTACAGACTCGAATACAATATCGAGTTGGGTGGTTTACACGGTTATACATTTTTCTATTTTCGAATTAAACAATTTTGAATTCAGAACAACACATGACATATTTCAAGGACAGCAAGCAGTATGAGTGAATGTGGCAAAAATAAAAAGTGTTTTTATTATTTTTGGTACAAGGCCAACAATAGCTTTATTGTTAACACGTTAACTATTTTTAAAATAATGTCAACGAGACAACATATTCAGAGATATGTATTTTCACGTCAATATGTTTATATGATAAGTTCAAATAACAGCTGTTCTAAATCATTCAACCATTTTTAAATTAATAAACGGATTAACCAGTTAAAACACGGTTCTATTCAACTGGAAAACTGAGGAACGTTAATAATTTAATTACGTTAAATGCATCGAATAACTTTCAGTAAATGCATGGTTATTTAATTCCAAGAAAGTTAAGAAATTAAAATACCGTTTGTAAGAATCAACTGAACAAACACTACATATCTGAGTTATTCGGAAAACGTGACGTATTATAATTTTACACTGGCAACAATTTTGAACACAAAAAAAACTTAATTTCCACTAGTACTCACACGAAAGCTTTCGTTTCCTGCAACCGGACCAAACCCTGCTTGAAGATGTCATAGGCGATTTTCGAGCACTGCGTGGAGACAGCGAGGAGGTCGGGCTGGTAGGCGACCTCCTTTTGCTTCTCTTCATCGTTGGGGTCGGTGGTGATGTTGTGTTTCTTCTTCATGCGTTCCAACGTGCGGTTTGGCTTTGCGGGCGGCGCTTCGACCACCGGCGCCACCTCACGAGTACAAACATTACACATGATTCCGCTTCGACGCGAGCGCGCACTGAGCTGTGTGAGACTGAGCGTGCCGCGTTCAGAAATATAAGACTGGCAAATCGAATCCCCACCACCCCACCACGCTGCGATTTATGCGATAAGCCAGTTGTCGATGACGCCGACGCCGCCAGTGATAAGTTTTTTGAGGCGCCGTTGATGTTGGCTGATTTTTGACTAAAGGTAGGTAGGTATTTGAGGTGCGCTCTCGACACACCTCCAACACATAATAAGAAGAAAAATGATTAAATTCTAAAGTCATCTCTTTGACAGCACTTTAAACATGACTACATCAGACACAGATGATATATAACTAACATTGATAAATAATAAAAATATAATTTCTTTTCTATACCTGTACACAGTAGGTATACATACCTATATAAACATAGAATAGATACTATACAGTAGAGTCATTTTGAATTTATTCTATTATTGAGGCTATTTTTTAACTAAAAAGCAAATGTAATTCAAAAATTTGGTTTCGATAACTTTAACCCTACAATTTTTGTTAGAATTTGTAGTCATGTTTCACAGAAATGTTTTTGTTTCAAACATTTTTCTATTGTTTAAAAAAATTAAGGAACTTCAATCTACAGAATATTCATTATCATTTACCTCTTCCATACGAAATATAAAATCAATTTCACTATTTTTTCGAATGTAGAGATAGGCTCTAAATAACACCACTCAGAAAATTATTAGAAATTATAAATTCTAATTGCTTTTATTAATTATAAATAGAGTTATATTGTGTAGAGTCGCCTTATGTAGAAAATAATGGTAGGTAACGTTTCTAAGGACAAATTTTTCAACCAACGCTTAAAAGTTATTCACAGGATAAAATACATTAAAAAAAATTAAAATTACATTTGTATGGATAAATACTTGATTTATTTTCATATTAGAGCACGTGATAAATCAGCACTTAAAATTGCTAATAAAAATTATATTGGTGTCGGCGGGGTACGAACCCGGGTTGTTCACACACTGAATTTTGAACATTGTGAATTTTCCTGAAATCGCTTAGCCCCTAAGCTACCACAGCTTTAACAAACAAAAGAAATCATCATAAGGAAATTTGCATCTCTGAGAAATATAAAAAAATATTTCGAAGATATTGTGAAGTCCGCCAAGACGCTTGGGGGCGCGGTGGACACTTCCTTGCCCTAAGACCTCTCAGTTAGAAAAGTAGGTCTGTGATCAGAAGTGTGACGTATGTAGACTGTAACTTTATCTTACTTTTATATTCGTACGTAATTATACGTGGTAGAGCCATGCTGCAGTTGTATTAGTAGTATAGTTGTAGCACGAATGGGTCGGCTCGACCGGGGAAGAACCACGCTCTCACAGAATACCAGCGTAAAATAGTAGCTTAAGGCTAGGTGTTTCGTATGGTGAGTGTAGAGAACCGGAGACCCTTTTTCTGGAAACGAGGCATTCTATCTTAGTCCTCACGAGTGACAACGCATCTGCGTTTTGAATCGTAATTGAAGATAGTTGTATATGTATATGGGCCACAGCAACTACATCAGGTGGATTGTGTGCTCATTTGCCACCTTATCCTATAAAAAAATATTCTGTCAGGCTCTAATTTATCTGATGATTGGAAAATCAGTCCAAGGATATTATTTTGATGAATCATGATGAAATAAATAATTTTATTATTAAGATTATAAGTCAATTGATAGCGAGTTTGCACTGATTAACGAAGAAGTATCATTATTCCAGTGTGATTCACTCGTTATATTTTATATATTGATAGCGTTACGCCAGCAGTCTTAAACAGTGTATACAATGATCTAGAATAAGACACTTAAGAAAATAGCGTATCCCTTGTATGAATTCTCTTTGGTAAGAATAAGAAAATCTAGCACTAACAGATTGCGCCTTTTTTTACTAGATATAGTAAGTCAGCTCAAATTCTAATTTCGTCCCCACTTGCCCACGCGTCGTATGCTATGTACCGACATGTTTGTAATCACTAATACTGTAAGTAGAAAGGTCGTTAGACACTTATTTCATTAGGTTTATCATATTTATGCCTGTTTCTTAAAGCCAAGCCAGCCGCTTCTTGTTTTTATCACGGTTATTTCCCATTTTATTTTTACGTCGTCCTGTTGCGTAATGTGTATTCTGATCGTAAGCTACACAACTTCGCCCTTCAAAAGCCTTAGCGATACTAACCACAGAACACTATTACTCCTATCGGAGAAGAACGACAACTTCATACAAAATTTAGGAAATGCGATATATAACCACTAGCTCCATCTATCGTCAGCCTCCTGCACTTCTCGTGTGGCGGGAAAATTTGAACGTGGTCCTTTTAGTTTTTTTTATTTGAGGTATTTTTGGGTTGCCTATCCCTGCGCTAAATAAAAGAACAAATACAAAATTTCTATTTATTTATTCAAAATAAAAATACAAATTAAAATAAAAAAACATACATCATAACTTAAGACAAAACTTTCTCCAGCAGATTAGTTCTTTCTATAAATACATTTGATGGGTTTAAACATGAAAAGAAAATCAATATTGATTACAACATTTCAATTACTTAAGTAAACAATGATAAACAATATATATAAGATTTACAATCATGGATGAATTGATAATATGCACAATCACAAAACATAGAATGTCTACAATAACCAAAATATCAATATTTTAATCAAAAACAAGTTAATTAATAAATAAGCTCCTACACACAAGTGCAAAGTGCAACATTCACAAATAATAACTTTGTTTTGATAATATTTGGTTGTCTATCTATTTCCCTGAATTGACACTAAAATTTTTGTCTCTATATTATATGCAATATATTAAGTATTGAATGCAGCTTATAAATAGAATAATTTTAATTCAAAATTATAAAACATATTAAATATTAGATTACAAAAATATTCCTTACTTCATTTTAAAAATTTTCATATAGAGTACTTTCTTTTTTAGGTTCAAAATTACCTGTTATGCTATGATGTTTGTGGTTGTTCTTCAGTGAATATAATGTTGTCCTTTTTGAAGTTCCTGTTTGTGGTTTTGCAGCAATAATTTGCGAGGGACCAGCTTGTAATTCCACAAATTAAGATGGGAATACACTTTGTTAGTCTGGAAATAAATAAGAACTGAAATATAGTATCATAAAATTATTATATAAAATTAAATTAACATTATATTCATTGACATTAGTTTCATAGTAAACCAGTCCCTGCTCATGGCACTACATTACCCTTCTACCAAACTAACTTTATAGACTTCAATCCTTTGGATGCTTTGTCCGATCCAATTATTATAAATTAGTTGAAAGCATTAACAGGATTCAAACTACTGTATGTGGTCTGTCCATCCATGTTAAATCCAGATGATGGTCATATGAATGATCATCATCTTCATTACAGTCTATCAATGTCCACTCCTGAATATAGTAATCCCCGTATAAAATATCTGAGTAATCCTTTAAAGAAAACTATATACATACCATAATACCATATACATTATACACTTTACTTACACATCACATGGGACTGCAGTTCTCAAGAGCTTTTTCTTGGTTGCATCATTAAATTAACCATCATGAAAATGTTTTTCACACAGCATTCTGGGCTTATTATGTAGCTTTATCTGGAAAGCTAAAGTAGTATACTGCGCTTGGGAAGGAATCTAATATTTCGCCCACAATTACAGCTGAAAACAAAAGATATAATTATTAAATACAAATATTATCAAAGTAGGTCCAATGGTTTACAAACCAATAATTTGTTTTTAAATATTTAAAGAGAAACAATAAGTTGGACAAGAGATTAACTTTAAGGTTAGAACTTATTAAATAGTGTATATGTATATTGTATACGTACCGCAAAATATTCTTTATTGCGGGTTTCGGAAACCTAAATAATTTAATGTTGTCAATGGTTGGTAAGCTGTTGCACTTAGAACACTTTCTATTTTCTTTATCCACAATTGTAGCGTAGTTTTTAGAGTCACTATTTCGTATTTCACTACGAATCATTGACTAACACATTGCACATCATATAAACGAAGGACATTAATCTCAACTCAACATCGTAAACTTGCAAAATCTTAGAAAAAGTCACAAACAAAACAAACATAACAACCAATCATGAACAACAACAATTTATACGGCGGTGCCATATTATGAGAAACGAGAACTATATACTCATTTAAATATTTTGGTGCTACCAGTAAAAAATATAATTTTCTACTCATGGAAAATCAAAACAAAAAAGACAACATTTATTTTTCTTTTACTGTCAAGGATATGCTAATATAATAACGTAGAAAAATACGACAGGCATAGTTATTTTTTTTTATAGAAGAAGGGGCAAACGAGCATGCGGCTCACCTGATGTTAAGTGACTACCGCCGCCCATGATCAACCGCAACACCAGGAGAATTGCGGGTGCGTTGCCGGCCCTTTAGAAAGGAGTAAGCTCTTTTCTTGAAGGTCCCCAGGAGAATCGAGCCGATGGGAAAGCACTCGGTCGTCGACGATTCGAGCCGCTCTGCGCTGGATGCGGTCAAGTGGAAGAAGCTGGTACTGGGGAGCCCAGCCCAGAGATGGGAACAGAATACCATGTGCGTCGAACCTGCGCCTTATAAAGTTGCAGGCGGTGTCCCGGCATGAAATACTGTCCCGCTCTGCTGAGCACGCCAAGCTTTTTAGAGGCCAATTTGGCCTTGCCTTCCAAGTGACCACGAAACTGCACGTCACTCGATATGTCGACGCCGAGGATTCCGATACTGGCTGAGGCAACAAGGGGAGTGCCTTGAAACTGAGGGGATACGACAAAGGGGTTCTTTTTAGCGGTTAATGCGCAAACTTTTGTCTTCTGGGGATTAAACTGGACTAGATTTAGTCGCCCCCAATCCGAGACTCTGTCCAGCAGAGACTCGACTTCAGACACAAGTTTGTTCCGGCACTCGGAGACGTTTTCCCGAGAAATATTGGCTCGGCCGGTGTAAAG